AATAAATAAATAAATAAATAAATAAAACTTCATCTCTAATCTACCTACTTCCCTACCTACCTACTGGGAACTGGGGATGGTGGTGCTCTCCTGTAATCGAAGCACTGAGGTAGGAGTTTCTAGGCCAGTTCAGATACACACACACAAAAATCAGTGCAATGGCTCATGCCTTTAATCCCAGCACTCAGGAGGCTGAGGTAGGAAGACTGCCAACAAATTTGAGGCTGGTCTGATACACACAGCAAGTTCCAAGCTAGTCTGGGTTACAGAGCAAGCTCCATCTCAAAAAACCAAAACAAACAAGTAAATAGATAAATAATCCCAAAACGTTGCTTTCTTGCTTGCCCAATGGGCATCTGTGTCTGGCTTCTGACTCTTGTACTGCCTGAGGAACCCATCCTCACCTGTCAGGATAGTAGCCCCAGTGCAGAAGCACTTGTTTATCTCTCTTCATGACTGGTCGTACCCATTCCTCTGAGGACAGAGACAGAAGAGACAGAGATAAGCTGAAGGGGAATGCAAAAAATAACTAGACCAAAGCTCTCACTAAGCACTCTTTTGTAGCAGGAGACTTGGTAACAGGAACTCAAGATGCAATGAGTACTCAGGGTTGAAAGGAGAGAGGAATTCCAGGTGTTGTATGGTGATCCAAGTAGTCTTCCACCTCCACCCAAGCCATTCAATGGTAGGGCCAAGGAAACCCAGGTCTCACCTTCTTCTAGGTTCCCTGGGACAGGATGTACAACATGGGAGGCATTGCTCTTGTCCTCAGTGACTGTTCCCTGGATAGCACAAAGAAAAGCACTTAAATCTAGTCCCCTTTGAACTACTCTTGCTGTAAATAAAATGTGGCCAAAGATCTGCCTTTCTAATTATATGTTTTGTAAAATGGTATTAAAGTTAATTTGTATTCTCTAGCACATACCAGTTGAGTGGCAGAGAAAATCAGCTGACAACTGTGTGATACCAAAAGACAATCCCCCAGAGAGATGATCTACATTCTGGAAATGTGTGTGGTATATACACATTTGCACATGGGTAAGCTGGCCTGTGTATATACACAGACGCTAGAGGTCAATGTATTCCTTTAACACTCTATTTTTTAAATTTATTTATTATGTATATGATTATTATTATGTATATGTATATGAGTGTCATGCCTGCATGTAAGTGCATCTATGCCATGCAGTGCCTGTAGAGGACAGAAGAGGGCGTCAGATCCCCTGGAACCGGAGTTATGGATGGTTGTTGGCTGCCAGGTGGGTGCTGGGATTTGAACCTACGTCTTCTGCAAAAACAACCAGTGCTCTTAACTGCTGAGCCATCTCTCCAACCCTGTGACCTTCTACTTTTTTGAGACAGGTTCTCAGCAAACCTGGAGCAACTCATTTCAGCTAGACTAGCTGGCTAATGAGACACCAGGACCCACCCGTCTCCACCCAGCACTGGGATGGAGCATATGGCATTACACCAAGCTTTTTTTTTCTTTTTCGGTCTTTTTGAGACAGGGTCTCCCTGTAGCCCCAGCTGTCCTTGAACTCAGAGATCTGCCTGCCTCTGCCTCCCGAGTGCTGGGAGTAAAGGCGTGTGCCACCATGCCCGGCGTACACCTAGCTTTTACATGGGTTCTAGGAATCCATGTTCAGGTTCTCGTGTTTGCATAACAAGCACTTTACCCACTCAGCTGTCTCCCCAGTCCTACTCATGGGCAATTTAAAGTGGACTGTATGTTTCTGTCAATAATATTTGCTTGTTATTATACAGTTCCAAAGAACAAAGATTTTGTTGTGGTTGTTTTTGTTTTAAAGATTTATTTTATTTTATGTATAAGGAGGCACCTGTAGAGGCCAGAAGAGAGCACTGGATCCCCAAGAACTGGAGTTACAGGCAGTTGTGAATGCCTGATGTGGGTACTGGGTACTGAACTAGGGTCTTCTGCAAGAGCAGTAAGTGCCCTCAAACACAGAGCCATCTCTCCAGCCCCTTAATTTTTTTTGGCGGGGGTGGGGGGGGGGGGGGAGATGGCTCAGCAGTTAAGAGCACTGGCTGCTCTTGCAGAAGACCCGGGTTCAGTTCTCAGCACCCATGTAGCAGCTAACAACTTTCCTAACTCCAGTTCCAGAGGATTCAATGCCCTCTTCTAACCTCTGAGGACATTGCACAACTCAGGTGCACTACATACATTCAAGTAATACACTCATACATGTAAAATAAAAGCAATAAATATTAAAAAATTTATTGGATTTTGGGCTGGAGAGATGGCTCAGTGGTTAAGAGCACTGACTGTTCTTGCAGAGGACCCGGGTTCAATTCCCAGCACCCACATGGTGGCTATGAACCATCCTTAACTTCAGTTTCAGGGGAACCAAAGCCCTCTTCTGACCTCTGTGGCACTGCATGACACGGGTGCACTCACATTACATGCAGGCAATACACTCATATACATAAAATAAAAATAATAAATATTTTTTAAAAATTTATTGGATTTCAGCTGGGCATTGTGGCGTACACCTGTAGTCTCAGCACTTGGAAGGCAGAGGCAGGTGGATCTCTGTGAGTTCAAGGCAAGCCTGGTCTACATAGTGAGTTCAGGACAGCTAGGGCTACAGGGAGACCCTGTCTCAAAAAAGACCAAAAAAAAAAAATTTATTGGATTTTAAAAATATTTTTTATTTTTATCTTTATGAGTATTCTGCCTGCATGCATGTAAGTGCACCAGTGTTATGCATTGCCTACCAAGGCCAGAAGAAGACACTGGATCACATAGAACTGGAGTTACATATGGTTCTTAGGTGCCATGTGAATACTGGGAAATTGAATCTGGGTCCTCTAGAAGAGTAGCTAGTGTTCTTAACCACTGAGCCATCTCTCTAGCCCCTGGATTTATTTTAATTTTATGTGTATGAGTGTTCTGCCTGCATGTATGTAAGTGCACCAGTGTTATATATTGTCCACCAAGGCCAGAAGAGGGCGTTGGATCCCCTGGAACTAGAGTTATGGATGGTTGTTATTTGCCATGTGGGTACTGGAAACTGAACCCAGGTCCTTTGCAAGAGCAGCCAGTGCTCTTAACTGCTGAGCCATCTCTCCAGCCCTTATTTTTTATTATTTATGTGTATGTGTCTATATGTGAATGCTATTATGAGTGCAGTACCACCAAGGCCAGAAGAAAGCACTGGATCACCTGGAGCTGGAGTTAAAGGCAGTTATGAGCTGCCCAAAGTGGGTGCTGGGAACTGAACTCAGATCCTCTGGAAGAGCAGAAAGTGCTCTTAACTGCTGAGCCATTGCTCAGTCCTGTTGTGGCTGCTTTGACACAGTCTCACTCTATATAGCTGAGGTAGACCCGAACTCACTATGTAGCCAAGACTGACTCTGAACCCTTGAAGTTCTTGCTTCTACCTCCCAAGTGCTAGGATAACAGGTGTACCACCAGGCCTGACTCCAAAGATTGAATTTATCTGGAGCCAGGCATAGTGGTGCACACCCAGTCTCAAAAAAATAAATAAATAAATAAAAATAAAAAAGATTTATCTGGAATCAGGTATCTCTATCTCAGTGGAAGTGGGTATTTTTTTTACCCAGGCCAATATGGTATCTAGGAACAGTGATCCAAACTGTCAAGACTAGGGAATGGAACAAATAGAGAAGTGATGCTCAAAGGCTTAACTCTAGTTATTTGCCAAGTAGAAACAGCCATCAGGAAAAGTCATGGCGTTTCAGAAGCCTCTCCTGACTCGCTCACTCACCTGGTGTCTCTTGATAATGTCTTTTAATTTCCCAAGAAGTTTGGGCTCAATTTCTGGGCATAGAAAAATGTTAGGTCTAGACAGGCAATTATTCTGTAGGGAGAAGCAGAAGATGAGATGAAGTTAGGACTATTTTGTGTTCTCACTGAGGAAAGGGAAACAGATGGGAGATGTACCTGAGTATTACCTGTACCAGGGACTTCTCAATGGTCATGAACATCTCCACGTTGCGGTCCATGCGTGATGGATTCTGGAAATCGTAACGCCTCCTAGTAAAGGAACAATACTCTAGTAAGTGATATAGCTCATGTCTGGAGTACAGGACTTAAAATTTTTTTGTTTTCGGATTTATTTACTTTGCTTTTGTATGTAAGAGTATTTTGTCTGTATTGAAATTGACCCAAGTCATGAAATGCCCACAGAGGCCAAAAGAGGGTGTCGGGTCCCTCGGAACTGAAGTACTGAATGTCGCTAGCTGCATTGTGGGTGCTGGGAACCGACCCAGGTCCTCTGCGAGGGTAGACAATGCTCTTATCTGCTGAGCCATCTCTCCAGTTCCTACATGACTTCTTTTTTTGTTTTGTTTTTTGTAGCCCCAGGTGGCCTGGAACTCACCATGTAGACCAGGCTAGCCTTGATCTCACAGAGATCTGCCTAGCTCTACTTCCGGAGTGCTGGGATTAAAGGCATGTATCACCACAGATGGCCATACATGATTTTTTTTGGTCTCTTTTAAGACAGAGTCTCCCTGTAGCCCCAGCTGGCCTGGAACTTGCTATGTAGACCAGGTTGGCCTTGAACTCAGAGATCTGCCTGCCTCTGCCTCCTGAGTGCTGGGATTAAAGGTGTGTACCACAATGCCTGGCTTACGTAATTTAGGAGGGGAAATTAGGAGGTGATCTTGTCATAGGTCTTTCAAAATCACACAGACCCTGGGGTCCCTGATCTCATTCTATGCTTAATCCAAAAGGACCAGGCTTGAGAGGACAACCTAAGAATCTGAACCTAAGAACACTGAACAACCCATACACACATTTACTCGTTCTTTGAGACTATTCTGGCTCTGTCAGCTATTTTTCTGATCTAGGAAAATAAGAGATACAAAGAATTTCTATATGTGTTCTCTCACTTCAGAAAGACCCTAGGGATAATGGGACACTCTCTTTAAACTAAATACAAAAAGCACTGAGAGAAGACAGCTCACCATCCCTGGTCACTCTTGAATTTGTAGGCAGCTGCAAGAATGTGGCATAACGATCCTCCTGCTTTAAAATCTAGGAAACATTTGATCTACAAAATTGAGACAGGAAAGAAGTATATGAAAGTTACACTGTAAATTCTCTTGTTACATAATAATTCTTTCACAAAATCCCACTCTTAATTTTTCTCCCTCTCAAAGTTAGATGATGATAATGATGATGATTTAGAAAGGGTCTCACTATATAGCCGTAGCAGGCCTAGAACCTATTATGTAGACCAGGCTGGCCTTAAACTTGCAGAAATTCTCCTGCTTCTGTCTCCTAAATTCTGGGATTATAGGCATGCACCACTATGCCCAGCCCTCAAAGTTGGAAATCTTTAACCCCTGTGTCGGAAAGAGAGAAGAAAAAGAAACTAATATTCATAGAAACATCATTTTGTACCAAGCCCTTTACTGGATAGACTACCTTGTATACTATTGAAGAAATACTACAAAGAAGGCCTATACATTTCATGGAGAGATTAAGTTATCAAGCTTACAGTAGGAAATAACTCAAAAATTATGAAACTTTAAAAAGACAAGGGCTCATGTAGGTCAAGCTGTCCTTGAACTTCCTATGGTAGATCGGGCTGGCCTCAAGTTTAAGATTCTCCTGCCTGTCCCCAATTCTAGGATTACAAGCATGTAGACTTAAAAAAAAAAAAAAAAGGCAAAACAAAACAACTCCCTTTCCAGTTTAGAGGACTCACCCTCTTCCTTTTACACTCACCGGCAGTTTAGTGAGCGGTGCATTGCTGACATGTTTGCCAAAAACTTCTTCCTGAAACTGCAGCAACTGCACAACCAGACTAGACAGGGACTTGTTGGTTGGTGGCTCTGCTTGTATATACTGGGGAAAAGGAGGGAAAGGAAAGAAAAAGAAATGCCAGGTAACTTTTCTATCATCTCCCATTTCTTTCTCTTGGGTTCTGGAAGCATCTGGGTAGACAAAAGGATGCCTTTCTCCTCCACATGTCTAGTCTCTATAAAGAAGGCCCTGGAAACCCCTGAATCCTGCATCCAACAGCCAGGTTGCTAGCACCGGGGATGGCAGCACAGGAAGCTTCAGACTCTTATTTAGCTATACCCTGAAATTGGAGTTGCAGGACACCCTGCTATCTGGGCATTTAATCTTCCAACCAACAAAAACAACACAACACTGTAAAATTTTTAGTTTATGGAGTTCAAACCCAGGACACAAAACCCCTTTGAGACTCTAAGTGACACAACAATGCATTTCTTGGGGGAGCTTGGTAGAAGACCAGGACGCCTCCCTAATGGTGCCTAAAAATAAAAAAGCAAGGTGAGGTAGGGCAAGAAGACTTAAAAACCAAGCTTGTACATTTTGCTCTTCTGTTGAAACTGGACATAAATGTCTTTGTAGGGTCCCCTAGCTAGAAAGCATTATCTACCACCAAGCCTGCTAAGAAATAGTGAGACAACATCTCTCCTTTCTGAGGAAACAATGTATAACAAGCAATCTTTGGCCTTCTTAAACATTTCCATACTGTGCTACCTAGCATGCTACCTTTCTGCTCAAATTCAAAACTGAGTCAGGAAGCTAACTTTCTCTTTACCTTTTGACCCTTATTTCCTCTACCCTAATCACAGAGAGCGAGCACCTCTCAGTGGGAGGGGTAAAGAGATCAGAAAAAGAAGTAAACGACAGAGTTAAGCACATGAAAGCTGAACCAGGTCACAGGCTGTCAGTGCCCCCACGGCCACAGACTAAGACCCTTGACTGATCTCCCTTCAAAAGGTCAACAGTAAAAGCCTGGGAACCAGACCCTCATGCTGAGGTACATACAAGTCACAAACCCAATAGCTATCTGTCAAGAGTCTTGACACCCTGAAAGACTCCAAATGAATGCAGGCCAAATTCATAACCAGGATTAGTGGGGAGTTAAATTGCTGACCATATTCTGACAGGCTGCAAAGCCAGGACGGGAAGAACTGGGGTGGGGTGGGGGTTAAAGAAAGCTAGGCAAGACAACCCTCTTAGTTGGGGGCATTGAGGAAGCAGGCTATCTCTAGAAGAATTAAAAAAAAAAAAAAAAAAACAAGCGTAGAGACAAAGAAAACCAAGAATGATGTTTGGTTTTTTAAAAAGGTAGGTAAGGCTTCTTGAACCCCTTTTGTTCACTACTCTTATTATTTCGTTATGGGGTGGGGGTGGGGACCAGAGCTAGGAAGCTCATCCTAGACTCTGGACCTCAAACCCAAGGCGATGCAAGGCTGGGTTGCAGAGCGACTTCATTGTGGAGCTGAGTGGTTTAAGGGGTTGCAGCCCGCGACTCCCAAGCCCGTCTCCTGAGAGGTTCTGCTGCCGTTTAGATGGAGGTGGGGGCCAAGCCTCGACAGGTGATCCCCAGGCGGAGACAGACCCTTTCCAGGCTGCCGCAGCCAACGGCCTCCTCCGGGACTGTTTACCCTCCTACTTCATCTTGTCTAGGAACATACACAAAGCACCGGGGAGGCCTCGGCGGCGCGCTACCTGGCTCGCCGGGCGCCGGGGCAGGCACACCCGGGGAGGAGATGCAGCCGGCACAGGGGGCCCCAGCGGAGCAGCGCCAAAGGCGAGGGCTGGGCAGCCGGCACCGCGCGGCGAAGGCAGGGGCCGAGGGAGCCGTGGGGGC